AGCGAGATGAGAGATGTCTCTGTGTGTGCACATCTATACGTACACATTGACGGATGGACAGAACTTTGAGTGAGCTGTGTGTGTGTGTGTGCGCGTGTGTATGCATTTTCATATAAACAAGCCAATAACTTGATAAACGAATCAGTAGAGAAACAAATATAAGTAAACATGTATATGAATATATAGATGTATATATATATATATATGTGTGTGTGTGTATATGTAAAAAAGAGAGAGTACAGCGTTACATAGATACTGTGCAAGCAGACATGCATACATACATACATACATACATAAATACATACATACATGTTGCGTGCATGTGTGCGAAGTAGGGACACGCTCTCGATGGTAGCAGGATTTTTTGTGTCTTAATGTCTATAACCACACGCACACACGCATGTGTTTTGTGTGTTTGTACGTCGGTGTGTATGTTTGTCTGCATGCCTGTGTCTGTCTGCATGTTTATATATACATATATATATATATGTATACATATACATATGCACATGTATCAAGATAGCCAGGGCGAGAGAGAACGTGAGAGATGTCAACATAAATAGTCATAAATGACCAACTAAGCACATAACTGCGCCTGTAGTATGTACATGTACCCAAAGTGTATATATGTATTTATATATATATATATAGACGAGCACCTGAGTATATAATGAAATAACTGCAATATACATATATATATATACATATATATATATATATATATATATGCATATGTATGCATACGCATATATTATGGGTATGTGTCCAGTAGGCGCTTGCTGACGGGAGATCAGCTTCAGAGCAGCCCTGATTCTTCCAGAGAACTAAACGGTTCTTGACGGCTCAGCTTAGGTTGAGGGTGTAGGGACAAGTTTAGGGGTTTGCTGTTTAGGTCCGGGGGCCTATGTTTAGGGTTTGGCTGAGGATTTAGTGCGACGGATCTCCGACTTGAGGGTCCAACTACAAAATGGAAGTTACAGTAAGACTAGTGCAGTAATGATGTCAGCCTCCGTTCGATGTTGTCTCTCGGAGAGTGCCCCGGCTTGAAAGGGAAGCACCAGAAGTCTTTAGTGTTAGGGCTTATTGGCTTAAGGTTTAGGGTGTGGGTGCATGTCGAGATTTGACAAGACCGTTGCAAAAAAAGGGGTTTGGGTGCATGTGCTGATGACGGACAGTAAGCATATAAGCTTCGGCTGTATGCTTACAGGTTTAGCGGCTCGCTTTCGCAAGTCTATATGAAATCTTGAATCCTTCGGGGCTGTGTCTCTGTGTGGGCCAAGGATGAGAGGACGACGCAGAACCTGTGCATGTGACTTTGAATGCAATTGGTTCGGAAGAAATTACGGTTTAGGAGGTTGGGAGTCGAGTCCTGTTCCGTAGTGTTAACTCTTGTGACAGACGGCTCCCCAGCAAGGGTCACGTTCAAGACTGCACAGTGGCACGTGCGCCCTGCTGTGGCCTGTGCTGCGGACAAAGATGCAGCGGCAGCCGTGCCGTGCAACGGCAACCACGACAACAACAACAACAACAACGGCTACCACGACTACTGCCGTGACTGCTACTACTTACTACTGCTACTACTACTACTACTACTACTACTACCACTACTACTACTACTACTACTACTAGTACCACTACCACTACCACTACCACCTACCACTACCACTACCACCACCATCGTAGCGAGACGCCACAAAACGAAAGCCCGCCGTTCCAGGGAAGGCATCGATCGCTGCGACGAGGCGTTAGGCGGCCCCGGCGGGCAGGCGAACTGGCCGGGGCCCTCGGGAGCTTCGGATTCGGGCTCTGTGGTCCAGTTCCAGGGGCTTTGGAGTTTTTAGAGTTTGGCAATCTCGGGGTTAGAGTAGGTATACTTTGGAGAATGACATCACCAGCAAAATTTGTTACATCTTTCGTGAAAGCGCTCGGTGCTCGGTGCGATGACCTGGGATTTATGGGTTGAGGGCATGGGGCTTGGCTGTTGATCTCGGGTCGCAGCAGCTCATTAATTAGTTAGCGTTCGAAGCGATTTTTCCCGGGCTTCGGGACAGCACGGCCCTGTCCTTGTTCGGACCATTGCTGTCGCTGAAGTCCTTTACGGAGCACCTTCTCCCAGCGGTCCCCGCATGGCCAGTGAGCACGGCCAGCAGTTTAGGGTTTGAGCTTGGGAAACCCATATAACAACTGAAGCCTTGCAATGAATGCCGGGTAAGCCCCTATAAAGCCCCATAGTAGACCCTAAACCCAAGACCCTCCATACTTACTTCCTTGGGGGTCTGTGGAGCCAATGGACTGAGGCAGCAGGTCGGCGCCGGCCGCGGCAGCTACGAAGTGGCCCGGGTCCCGGTTGCTGTGGAGACGTAAGCCGAGATGGAAGCCATGGGTGTAGGGATATCGGGCGATGATAGACGTGATTCTAGATTGTAAGAATCCGGGTGAAGGTTGTCGGGGTTGATGGAAGGGGTCTGGGTAGAAGTCTGCCTCAAAGGTCCTTGCTACTGATGCTGGGCCAAGATTGTCGGTGCAGAAGAATCTTGTTGAATTCTCTCGCTGCCACTCAAATAAACCCGTCGTCGATTGCCTAGAGTCTAAGTAAGTTTCAACCTGAGAGGCTGTACGATCACAACACACACACACACACACGAATCTCCAAACCGTGAAGGCGTGATTCCTCAACACCCAATCCCAAACCGGAATACCCAAAAGGCTGGAACACAAGATGAAAAATCTCGAATATGCTAATTCTGCCCTACAAGCTTACTCCAGGATTTCACTTCAAGCATCGAATCAAGAAGTCCTCAACCCTGTAAATGTTAAAGCAACCCCCTGTAAGTGTTAAAGTACTCATTTTTGAGCCTCAAAGCCTCCCATTGTCAGCCCCAGGTTGAGACCCTGGTCTACGTGGGCGAGGGCAAAGGCAACTACAACAAGGATGATGTGGAGCAGGCAGACTGCGGAAGGTCTAAGGGGAATGAAGTGTCCTCTTGTTGGAATTGGCAACTCGTCCCTGTGGGTGGGGCACTGTGGTGGTGTCCGCGCAGGACTGTTGAACATGTACTCTGCGCTTGTCTGTCTTGAGTCGACCGTTAAGCCAGCTCCCCAGATGACAACCACGTGCCATTGTCAATGCAACACTGTCACGTCTCTGCTGCTTCACTCTGCCATTGTTGATGCTGCACTTTTTGAGTAGTCGCATGGAGTACGTTCGCCCGTGCTTGAGTGCAGGTGAAACGGCCGCCAACTAAAATCAGTTGGCAGCGCAGGCTGTGGACTTAGAGAGAGATCTATGCGTTGGTCAAGGTCTGCACGTCTCGTAAGCACTAACCCTACAAGCAGCATTGCACTGTCCAGGTTTTCGAAAATTCGGGGTCCTCCTTTAGGGTTCCATATGCGCTGAGGGTACTTGCAGAAAAGCACACAGAGCCTGTATAGAACACGATCAAAAGGATCCTCGTTTAAGGTCTCCTGAACGACGTATCCCTGCTTGAAGCGATATTTTGGAAGCCCCGATCTCGAGACGGTCAGATGAAGAGTGGGCAGCCGACGCGGCCAAATCACTGTTGTGAAGTAAAAAGGAGTGTAATTCAATGAATGCATTGAATTATACCGTTCTCCATAACTTCTATTTCCTTCTGGTGGGGATTTTGGTGCCTGTCACACAGTCGACACAAAAACGAACAGCCAACTGCTCGGCCCATGGACTCCTTGCTCTGGAGGCTCTACATGGGCATCCTTTGTACTTTCCTTGCAGCGGGCTTCATCTCGCTGGTCGTCCGCACCTCAGGAGTTTTCTCAGGCTGAAAGAAAGGATTTTGGGGTGCTTGAGTTTTTAGGATGCTTCACGGTGGTATAGGGCTTCACCGCGAATACGACGAGTAATTTGTGCTAATGATACTCATATTCATACGAGCACGGGTACTATTGCGACAAGGCCCTGCTACTATTATAAATATTATTACTTGTGCTACTACTACCACCACCACCACCACCACTACTACGACTACTACTACTACTACTACTACTACTACTACTACGACTACTGCTACCACTACTACTACGACTACTACGACTACTACGACGACGACGACGACTACTACTACTACCACCACCGCCACCACCAACATCGTAGCGAGACGATAAAAGACGAAACGTAATAGTGCTATATGGTCTTCGTGTGTGGTCGCGGATTCACGAGAACTCCTTGGAACCTTCAGTTGCGATCTCAGTTAGTACTTATGCTTGGTTACGTTGATACTGTAGCTGCTACTTCTACGACAAGTTGCAGAGTGGATGCCCGCCGCATTGGTTGTTTCTTGGTGCTGATTTGCGTGCGCGCGTTACCTTCGGTTTACCGTTCACAGGAGTACATATACTTATAGTGCAGGAAACAAGTTGCTTCGGCTCTGCGGGTTCCGTGGGGAACCGAATCGTCATCACTCCTTCCGCCATGGTACGGCCACATGTCTTGTGATAGCTGTACCTAGTAGCACACGCAGGATCCCGAACCCCTCACCGAAGCCCTGAGGCGTGATCGGCGAAGCTCGTAAGAATGTTGGCACTGGGCCCTTCATGTTGTGAAAATCTTCCGGGTATCGCGTGATGTTATTGCAGGCAAGACCAGTGTTTTGGTTACTCCTCTTCTTGACCTGCTCGCTAGCTTGAAACATCTCTTGTGACAACTATATTTCCATGGTTACTGTTCTTACTCGCAGCAGTATTGCCAGCACATATTTCTGCGTTGTTCCCCTTGGTTTGCACAATCGCTTACTCTTGCACTCATCTTTAGCGTGCTCGTTGGGTTGGCTTGGTCCTGCCTAGCTGAGACTAAAGTCAGAAGCAGCTCACTGGCTAGCTGTTCCGACTTCTAAACTCTATGCCGTCGAAACCCGCAAGTATGGCTGGTTGAATACTCGGCTCTAAGCACTGCCCTTTGTAGAGGCCCACTCCTGTAGTCTCCTGAGAGTGCGGCTGATCCTCTCCAAGAGCGAGAACCGAGAGGCATGCTGAGACAGGTCTTGGTATATGCTGACAGCCTGTCTTGGGGCATCATCCCAAACACACGGGCCAGACTGCCCTTCACCAAACGATGGCCCGGCGTGTTCGAGGCTTCCTTGAACCGTTCTGGAAAGGACGTTCGAGTCATCGAGAACTGTCTGAACGGGCGCCGCACCGTGTGGTCGGATCCTTTCAAGCCCGGCCGAGATGGCTCCGAGGGACTGGCACAAGTGATCGAATACAACTCTCCGCTCAGCCTGGTGGTGCTTTGCCTGGGAACGAACGACTTTCAATGCACCCATGACCACCGAGGCTGGCTCTCTGCTCAGGGAACTGCCAAGCTAGTGCAGATCATTCGCCAGGCGCCCATCGAACCTGGTATGCCAATCCCAGAGATATTGATCGTGGCCCCGCCCAAGATCCGAACGCCACGGGGGCCCATAAGTCACAAGTTTCATGGAGCAGAACACCGAGACCATGGCCTAGCTGCTGAACTTCAGGAGGTGGCCAAGCAGCTGTCGACGCATTTCTTCGACGCCGAGACGGTCACCAGCGCAAGCGCCGTGGATGGCATCCATCTCGATGAGAGTCAGCATGAGACCTTGGGCCGGGCTCTAGCCCAGGAAGCTGCCAAGATTCTGGAGTAGCAGTCGCAGAGGATCCGAAGTACCTGACTGAATAGCAGACTTTAGGTGTTCATAGTTGGATCAGCTCTTATGACTTGGGGAAGTTTTCCCCTTTGGCAGTATGGAAGACTCTTCGTGGCGACTGCGTCTGGAGTGAAGAATGCCGACAAGTGCCTTCGAAGACTGCCTGATGTAGGCGCCTAAAGAATTACCTATACTATTTTGGGGGTTCCTTACAAGACGTATAGTATAATGGGCCCCCAAAAACCCTATTCTAGAAATTAAGGCCCCTACATTATCTGGCTTAAGATTCTCAACTTCTGAGCCCGACAAGGGACCCCAACTAACCTACCTCTTTAGGGACTTCTAGACGGAAGTCATATTCTAGGGCATCCTGAAAAATGAAGGGTTTAGAGGGCCCAGGTTAGCCTTATCAGGAAGCCTTCAGTTCATCACCAGTTCTGAGAGTCCGAAAAACTCTCTTTCACCAGTTGAGCGAGTGTAGAACATCTCCCTCACTTCGAAGCTTAACCACGGTTGCTCATGGAGTTGAGCAATTAAGCTTTGGTCTACTGTCAGTATGTTTGAAATTTAGAAGTGCAAGTTTTGTTGTCATGTCATGTGCTCCGGTTGACTCACGAAATACAGAATCTGTTGGAATGCCAATCGAGATGTACTTGCAGCGAGGAGGTTTCTCGTCTAGGGGCATGTCGAAGTCAGTCCCACATTTGAGCATTTTCCACAGCGACGCGGTAGGCCTTAGCATTCAACAATGAGTTCTTTCATCAGCTTCCTGTTTGGGTTTTTATGTGAACGCTTCCGACGCAACCAGCGTGCCTGTGACAATGGGCCCCGGAACACTTGCGTACTTGGGAAGTCCTGCCACGGTCAGCTGGTTATGTTGGTGGTTCTGATGGTGGTAACACTTGTACCGATGGTCTTAACCCGCTTGTCGTGTATGACACTGCTGCCTACGACGACGACGACGACGACGACGACGACGACGACGACGACTACCATTACCACCACCCCACCACCACGACCTCTACGACTTCCACTGCAACTGCTACTACTTGGATGGAATGTTCGCTTTTGGTTCCAGCCTTGCTTGCCTCCGTCTGCCTTTGTTAACACCCACAGGCACAGCTCAGCTATCACAGAAGCCTAGATACCAATATTATTCCTGCCGTCCCTGATCAAAAGCATACTACAAAGGAGCTCGGAACCCTAATCACTAATCTCTAAGTACAAAGGCGAGCACAAAGTATTCGACAAAGGAGATCAAAGGAGCTTGGAACCTTAATCTCTAAGTATTACGGCCCCTGCCTTAAAGCATTCTACACTGGAGCTCGGAACCCTAACCTCCAAGAATGAAGGCTCCTATAAACCCTAAACCCTAAACCCTAAACCGTTGTATACCTTAAAGAGAGAAGACGCTGAGGCGTCTTTGATACTCGGCCCGAAGAAGGCGCAACTCCCGTTCCTGCCGGGCTGCGGTGGTTTAGGCTTTATGGCTTTGGGTTTAGGGTTGAGGGCTTAGGGTTTTAGGGTTTAGGGACTTGCGGTTTTGCCTTTTCAGCACATGCTCGCAAGACTCGCAAGTAGCAGCAAAGATCTGGTTCACAATAGTGTCAATAGTGATGGTGATAGTGTACGTTTATATATATATATATATATATATATGTGTGTGTGTGTGTGTGTGTGTGTGTATTAGAGATGACACCAATCAAAAGATCACCTGAATTGTTTTGATTTTGAGCAGACTCCATAGACTCGTCTTCGGATGTGGCTCCTGGCTCGTACCATGGTCTGCCGCTGCCCCGAGGTAGGCAGAATCACGCAAAGAGCTTCCGAAACCCAAAATATCGGTGAGCGGGTCGGCAGAACCAGATTGCAATAGGAGTTCCGTAGTCTTTGGGGTTCATGCCTGCCAGATTAAATTCGGACCCTTTCCCTCGAGTCCAGGGATGTCTTTTCAAGAACCCAGAGGCCCCAGAGGCAGAGGAAGAAATCGGGTCAATCACCCATCTGAAAATCTGAGTATTTCCTGTCCTAAACCTCCTTTTAGAACCCCCCCCCCCCCTTCCGAGATTTTCAGTCAGTATAGTGTTAAGGTTCTGGTTCCAGGGGAGAGGGGGGGGCACCTGTAAAGAGAGTTTTAGTCAGTATGGTTCTGGTTCTAAGGTTCTTTTTGCATTGGGGGGGAAGGGGGGGGGGTTGCCCTGCCCGGGAAGTTCAAAGGCGAGACACGGAAAGCTCGCGGAGGTCCAAGTGCGACCTCTGGCTGAGGCACCGATGGGGGGGTCCACCTAATGTAGGGGCCTTAATACTTGGAATAGGGTTCGGGGTATATTATACTCGTTAGAATGAGGAACCCCCAAAACCCTATTCGAATTATTAAGGCCCCCACATTACAGATCCAACTGTGTGGAGCTTCAGGATTTTAGGTTAGGCTTCAGGGAGTTAAGCTTTGCGGCTTTAGGGCTTTGGGTCTTAAGGATTCCAAAACGCTGGCTTTCTGACTGGGGGAGCGCTCATTGTTGAAATGGGAGCTTCCGAAAAGAAGGGGGGTACCGTATTTTGGGGTCCTTATGATAGGGATCCTACTATTTAGGGTACTTTATTACGGTCCCCTATTTTCGGAAACCCCCAAATGGGCCATGAGCACACAGGATTGATGCTGCGAAAGCTGGAGCATCAGTACATACAAAGTTTGGTCATCAAGGCCACAACAACGAGGAGGGCACTGTGGCATAGAATTATGCCAGCAGTCGGAGGCCTCGTCGTAATCACAATGGCACATGCCGTCACCACCACCAGCATTACAATGTTCATTGCATTTCATCAGCATCATCACATTCATCAAGCAGACCTCGCCACCATCATCATCACCATCGTCGTCATCATCACCATCATCACGAAAAAAACCATCATCACCAAAAAATCAGTATGCCAGTAACATCATCTCCATTACTGGAACCCCATCCATGGCTGATCCTCCACAGCAGCTTGTCAGGGTCGCCACAGATATACCTGAAAACGCCGCAGTGATGTCTCATCACAGCTCTCCGCTGCACAGGCTGTAGCACCCCATGCAAAGCGACATGCAAGTGAATGGCCTAAACCCGAAAACCCTAAACCTTGAGGCAAGAAGCCCTAGGCCCTAGGTCGGACATCCGAAACCCAAAGTAAGGACCGTAATCCCCAAATCCCGAAAAACCCTTAATTACACCCTGTGGATACTGTAGACCCTAAGCCCCAACCCCCTGAGCTCTGAGAGCCTAAAACCCTGAAGTAGATCTGGGGCGCAGGAGCATAGGCAAGATGCTGCACACGACGGCATTCTCGGCGATGGGTACAGGACTGCTTCTATCGAACTCTGGATGTTTTTGTTTTTCGCGTTTTAGGTGTTCAGGCCGAGTGTTTTGGGTTTTGCATTCATCTGTTCGGGAGAACAACCTCTTCAGTCATTCGGTTTGGACCTGTGCGTTTTGGGACCTAGGTTTGTTGAAAAGATCTGATGTAGGGCTCTTAAATAATTACCAGTACTATTTTGGTGGTTCTTCATTAGAACTATAGTATAATGGGCCCCGGAACTTTGTTCTAATTATTAAGGCCCCTATGTTAGGTGACCGGGTGGTTATCATGTTGGGACTGGGTTTTGCCGCTTGCTGACGCAGCTGACACGGAGTCTTGGGATGGTGAGTCCACACCCTAAGCCCAAGATGACCCCCACTGAGTCCCCGGTTAGACCTTAAACCCTTGTAGTATCAGAGTAGTGGTATAATAGGAGTATATAGTAGTATTACAGTAGCATTAGAATACGAGTATAGTACTACTTTCAAAACCCAGTTAAGCTCAGATCAGATTCCCCAATGGCTCAGTCTGGCTCGTCCGAGTTGCGAGAGAGCGCGGGCTGAGCCATGGCTTACTGAACCCTACAGAACTTTTTTAGGGCTCCTTGTTATGATTGTAAGTCCTACAAAAGGGTAGGTTATTTGGGGTTAAGGTAAATCTTAGCGGCAAAACTCACGCGAACCCACACACGAAGCCCAAACTGCGCTCGAACCTGAAGCTAGACAGTACCTACACCGACCATCCTAATGCTCTTATAGGAACTGTGGATACTCTCCTCTTTGAACCTTGAGGAAGCCTTTCATGCCGTTGCGACAAGCCATATTCTACTCTCTAAACCCAAAAAGAGTCTGGTTTCCTTGTCAAAAACCGTGGGCTACTCCCCAACAAACCCATGATGCCCTTGCAGCACCGACAAAGGTATTCTGCACCTTAAACGCTGACTCAAGAACACATGCCTCGCCTGTATTGTTCGAGTGTGAGCGCCGAAGCCCTGAAAAGAAGCGATACTACCCTATAAACTAAACCCTAGAAGATCTATGATGCGCTCACAAGACCCGTCCTTCGTGGCTTCGGAGGCAGCCGAAGACATCCCTTCGAGCACACGCGCTTACATCCAAGGCGGGCGTAGGCTTTAAGGCTGTGGGCTGTCGGGGGATCAGGATTCAGGGCTTTGGGGCTGTAGGGATTTGTTATGCCCTTTGTCGTCCCTTCGTAATTGCACCAAGAGAAAAAACAGCTACTTCAACCGTGCTTTCTTTACTGTCCCCTTAGAGTCCCTTTTCAAATGCATGGTCAACATGACTCGACCCCAACACGAGACCCTCTCTCAAGGCCTCTGTAGTACAGTATCTCCATGTCTCGAGCGCTGTTTCGAAGCCCCTCCAAAGCCCCTAGAACACGATGGACACCCTGACAAGACGTGATGTACCATGACTGTTACAAAAGCACGACATCTATAGACCCCTCTAAAACAAATCAAGCCGCCCCTCCCAACAGCTTGAGGATGAAATCCTGGAGCTGTTAAGCCCTAAACCGTAAACACTAGCCCATGATGGTACTAGTAGCCTAGGAGAACCCTTGCAACAACCCCTGTGTCTGACCCAAAGTGCCCTTCCACCCTGGCAGAGTTTTAGGGGCCTCGGGCTCTCGGGGTAGCTTCGGTGTTCGGTTGAAGGGTTTGGTTTAGGGTTTAGGGTTTAGGGTTTAGGGTTAAGGGTTTAGGGTTTAGGGTTTAGGGTTTGTGACGGTGGGGAGAGGGGGTGGGGGGGTTTTATAGGGAGATCTGAAGACTTATAGTCTATAGCTTCTACAAGACAGCAGGCCCTAACACCTGCAGCTGCGGTTGAGGGTTCTTGGGTTGAGGGAATGGTTAGGGCCAACCCCAAGCCCCCATTGAAGCTTAGCTTTTCCGAGAAGCCCAGCAACCCGAAAGAGCAACATGGTGGCTCGGATGATTACAGTCCTCATGCGATTCTGTTGGTCATGCTGTTGGACGACTGATGTGGTTTATGAAGCTTTGACTTAGGGTTCCGGGCTTCAGGGCTCATGGCTTAAAGCTTGCCGGTGTTGATGTCGTTACAATGTAGGGGCTTAAATAATTACCAATACTATAATATAGTTATAGTGTAATGGGCCCCGAAACCTTATTCGAATTGTCAAGGCCCATATATTACAGTCTACGCAGTCTTGTGAAACATTGCAGTAGGCAGCCATGGCCTGCCCACCACCGGTCGGACGTCCATGAGCCACCAAACCTGTGCACCACTGTCAGGAGGGCTTCCGGTGCAACGTCGAGGCCGAACGGATGCTCTCGGTTGTTATTTGTACTTCCGCAGCTGCGACTATGATGCTAGTTACTACAGCATTGCAATCATGACAATGATAATGTACTGGTGTTGGTGCTGATGCTTCTCCTCCTACCACTGCGAGGACGGCCGCTACTATGCTGCTACTGCTACAGCTACTTCTGACGCTGCTCCTGCTCTTACTACTACTCACTACTCATCCTTCTGCTGCTGCTGCCGCTGCGGCTACCACTACCGCTACCGCGAGCACTACACGCGCCACTACCACTTGTTGCAGCTGCTGTCCTACAACGGCCACTACGATTACCTGACTGTACCGCTTAAGCCTCCCGGTTTTGGCGTGCACATATAGTCTAGCATCGCACCTCGTCCTGGATTTGATGTGGTGCCGGTGGTGGGTCCGGGGGCTCCAGGTTTGCTACTTTTTGAGGATTTGCCAAGCCACCGGATTCTCTAAGTTGAAGCCTGCTGCAGCCAAAAGCTCGAGCGCTCAACCCAGAGAGCCATCTTCGGACACTCTTGGCAAACAGTCTCCAAGGTAATATAGAAGCCTAAATAGGTACCTCTACTATTTTGGGGGGGTTCCGTATTATAACTATACTATAAAGAGCCCAAAACCCCATTCTAGGCATTGAGGCTTATACATTATGTGCCTCTAGATGGCTACTGTGAATTTCCCACCGGGAACAGCAACCTGCAACTTGCCGTGGCACCACCAGGCAGTTATCTTTGCATTGGCACCGCGGTTCGACAGGAGGAATCAGCCCGTCCGAAGTAGCCCTAAGCCTCTAAGCCTCAGGCCCGAATAACATGTCGGTAGTTCTCTGAAGTAGAGTTCTCTGAAGTGGAGTCCCTTTTGGGGTCTAGTTTGTTGAGAAGGGTGCCGTACTAGATTGTGGACCTGAAAGGGGACCCCATGTGCTGCCGAGGCGTCGCACAAGTGGTCTCTGAAGGAGAGGCAGCGCCAGCACTCAGCGATGGCTATCCCTAACCCCCCAGGTACCTACTATATAGGGTACTAGAGCCCCGAAGGCCCTATATAGTAATATATATAGTAGGAGCCTGGAGGGTTAGGGTATCTTGAGGGATTTAAGGACTTGTACGTCTTAGGGATTTTAGCGCTGGAGAGTTTAGCAGTCGATGGCCCTTTGGTGAGTGCGTTCTAACGATTTAGAATTAAGGGTTAGCGTTTCAAGCTTCAGGGCTTAAGGTGACGGGGTTGTGGCCGCTGTCTTCCCAGAATCAGCGGTTTTGCGGCGAAGGGTTGGGGTGTACGAACCCCTGGAAACCAATAGCAACAGCAAGCGCCTTGATGTTCCGGGTCTATCCGCAACATTGGGCTGGTTATGGCTGGTTGGATGTCATTGACCTAAACCCTAAACCCTAAACCCGACATCTCCATCTTGAGCTGTACATTATGTGGGTTAGGTGGTGGGCCGCTCTGAAGTTGTCTGTAGGGCTGTAGGGTGGGGCACGAGCTTTTTCAACTCGACATGGCCGCTTCTTTGTCAAAAAGGTCCCAGTCTGTTTGCTGACAGTGAGGGATTGGAAATCGCGAAACCGCCCCAAAACTCGCGGGCAGTTTCAAGAAATCAGGCCATCCTCCTGAACTTCTGTTTGCGGGCGTCGTAGGGTTCAGTTTACGAGACGGGGGAGATGCTCGGGTTTGCACGACAATCCTTTACCCAAGTCCCAAGGAGAACTCGAAGCTCAATGCCACAAACCCTCTGCCCCCCCGAATCTGTTCCGAGTCGGTGGTTTTTAGACTCCAAGCTGCAATCAAAACTCGTCCATCAGCCCTGCACTCTTATCTAAAAAACGTCAAAAAACCAACCGAAGTCACGTAAACCTGAACCAGAATCCCTAAACCCTAAGCCCTAAGCCAAGATTGTCCAGTCCAAGTGTGAGCGCCGAAACCCTAAACCCTATAGACCCTAAACCAGAAACCCTAAAGCCTAAACCCTATCAATCCTAAACCCTAAACCCCAAAGCCCGAAAACCCTAAACCCTGCAACCCTAAACCCTAAAGCTCTAAAACCCTAAACCAGAAGAAGCTCTGAGGCACTGCTGCTCCACCAGCGGCCTTGGATGTCCCCAGATGAAGTGTGAATCAGGCTCTGTTGAGATCTGGGTTTGGGGTCTCTGTTGAGACTTGGGGTTTAGTTTAAGGTTAGGGTGCAGGCTTTGTTGAGATTTTGGGGTGTAGTGTTTGGGCGCTAAACATATTGGGGAAACAGATATTTGTTGCGCAAAATGTTGAGATTTGGGATTTGGTTATTTGGGGCTTTTCCCCGCACCCCTGGGTTTAGGGTCTATAATCGGGTTCCCTTTCAGGGTACAGAAGAACTCTACAATATGGGTGCAAGGATCCTTTACTTGGGGTCTTCGTTTGGGGTCCCCGATTTTTGGATCGACATAGACAACCCCTTACTCCAAGGGTCCAAAGGACCCAACAATCAGATACTTGGGTTTCGGATAGTAATTACGTAGGTTACTATTTGGGAGAGTGGATGATTATTAGGTACATGGACCCTTAGAATTAACCCTAAACCCTAAACCCTAAAACCCTAAACCCTAAACCCCTAAACCCTAAACCCTAAACCCTAAACCCTAAACCCCTAACCCCTACCGCATGCCATCGCTAAAGACGCTAGGTCGCAACGCAGTGGGGGCCTGGGAGCCGGTTTCTGGGCCGTGAGGTATGGGGCATTGCCGGGCTTTCTACTCTCTACCTATAGTCTCCATTGTAGTCCCTTTTGGGGATACCTTATAGTCTCCATAGTAGTCCCTTTTGGGGATACCTTATAGTCTCCATAGTAGTTCCGTTTTCGGATATCTTATAGTCTCCATTGTAGTTCCCTCTTGGGGATACCTTATAGTCTCCATAGTAGTTCCGTTTTCGGATACCTTATAGTCTCCATTGTAGTTCCGGTTTAGGGTTTAGGGTTTAGGGCGAGAGAAGCCTGCCGCAAAAAGGGTTCAGGTTTAGGGTTTAGGGTTTAGGGATACCTTATAAGATGCTTAATATATAATTGGTTAAACCATAAAAAGGAACTACACTGGAGACTATAGGTAATGCACTCTTGCTGCGCTTCAGTCGGCGAAGGGTTTAGTGCTACACATTTCCGGTTCAAAAAAGTCGGTGAAGGGCAGATGAGCTCAAGGGTGTGAGGCTACGTTGCTTGGCAAGCCACAACCCACCAACCCGTCCGCCGGCGAGGCAGCGATGACTGGCAACACGCCTGGTCGCTGCCCCAGCTCTCGCTTTGGGCTGTAAGAGTTAGGGCGGAAGGGTTGATGGAAGTGCGAGGTTGCGGCCACAAGCGACTACTGCGAGAAGTCTTTAACCCAACTCGCAGCCCCCGTTAGTAGGAGCGCTGGTCTTCAAGGTGCAAATCTGCAAAGCGAAAGAGTAAGGCAGGAAAGATCCAGCCGCGAATGTCAGTGCAGCCATACATCAGGCGCAGCAAAGCCAATTTCACCAATATCTTATAAGCTGGACACTAGACTTTCGTCGCGAATCTCGCGCGAAGAAGCGTGGGACGACTCCGTGTCTCTCAGTCGCACATGCTTGAAGTACTCTTTTTTCTAGCTTATCCTAACCCATGTAAAGGACCCTACATCTTCCGAGAGCCTAGGCACACAATAGGGTTTAGGGTTTAGGGTTTAGGGTTGGGTTCGCCAACCTTTCCACAGAGCCCCCTTCATTCAGCAGTACTGATCTCGCGAAGGCCCGTGTTACAAATTGCCAGATTTCTGCATCGAACAATTCGTGCTCGTGGCTTTTGATCCTGAAGCCTCTGTCAGGGTTTCATGTCATACTACCTTTCGAAAGCTTCGGGCACTAGCCTCAACTCGAGATGCAATCGTGTTGCAGGAGGCGGCACCTGAAACCTTAAACGGCATCTGAGCGAAGCTTTTGCAGTTTTTTTGGTGGGCGGCGCCACAACACCGAGCTGCCTTTCCCTAGCCACTGCTTCGCCAACCCGGCCTCAGCGCCTGATCTCGTGATGAAGGTGTCGAGTTATGACGGCGGGCAAAGCAGGAAACCCAAAAAGTCCCAAGCACCTAATAATTATAGCAATACAGTAAGGTATTTTTATAGTAGGAATGAGCATTATGGTTTGGGTAAGTATCCCATGTAAACATTCAGCACCCTTTGGGAATGCTGCCTGGGTTCAACACATCGGCCTTTGTTCGGTCCCCCAAACCTGAGATCAGATTGCCGCCGCATGCGCGCCTCCGATGACTTGCCTTCACACTTTATGCGAATTGTGCTTTGGTGGATTCTAAGCTATATAGATTACAGTAGAGAAGTTCCTGGGCCCGAAGCAAGACAGTTACAAGGTTACAACTCCAGAAGGTCGAAGTGCGACTGCCGCCATGGCCACAATCTAGAAACAGAACGGAGGCGCACTCCCACCAGCCGGCCCGAACAGGCCCCAGACCAGTGGAACATGAAGGCCCTTCAAAAAGCGGGACTTTTTCAAGAAGTTGCTACGCCGCACACCAGCCGCCGATGTTGCCTCCATTCGGGGAATTCCTGCAGCAACCCGAGCAGGCTTGACTTTCTAGCAGATTCTGTCGAGCTCTTCGAATCGAAGCAGCTGTCCTGCGATTTCTTCCTATTTCCTCAGGATCTTGTGGTGCAGCCTATTGGCCTAGGGCATCTCCAAACTGCGTGTTGTCCTTTACGTAGCTAGAACCCTCATCAAGCCCCACACCCGAAAGCCCAAAAGACCTAAGCACACCGTTCCTTTCCGCCGAGGTCTGTGGGCAAGAAGATCTGGTGCTGCGAGCACCACAAGATCGGATGCCACGGCCCCAGGGTTTTATTGCTTCTCCAGGGCTTTCGGGTTTAGGGGGCTTAGGGGTTATAGAATTACGTAGTTATAATATATCTCATAAAGGGTAGGGTTTTTTTTGACAGGCCGAAACACGTGCCTTGATCTGCAAGTAGAGCTGTCTTCGCTGTGATCGCACGCTCAAGCAGTTGAGCCCTAGCACTTGAGGCCAGGTCAAAGGGCATTGGGACTACAAGGGTTTAGGGTTTTGGGGTTTAGGGTTTAGGAAAAAGGGCATGTTCAAGGTTTAGGCAGGCGGCCTGCAAGCTCATTTTCAAAGTGTGCCGGCTACTTCTTGAAGTTTCGGCGGAAAATGCACAGCCTGTGGGGTCAAAATTTGCGGGCTGGGGTCGTATCGAGCTTACCCAGATAGCGCCCTAAATCCTTGAGTCGACCTTAGATCCTGAAATTCCCCTAAGCCAGCAATCCATTCTTCATGGTGCTTCACGCAGGCACCTGGTAGAGCCACCCACGCCTCTCAAGCCTCCAACATCTCAAAGCGCTACACAGATTGCACACCACGTCTTACATTCCATATCTCAGACAACTTCTGCGAAGCTGAAAGCCGACAAGCCTACACCGTTAACCCGAAGCCCTTCAGGCCCAAAGGCCTTCACAACCCTGCATCCAGAAACAACAGCCCCAGTGCAACCAAGTGTGGGGTAGGGAAGACCGCGTCTGTCTCGGACTACCACCAACAGCGCGCCAAGTCCGCTGCGCGCAGCCGGTGGGGCCCGAGAGTGAACCCCAAACCCTCAACCCCCTGAACCCTGTAGTACCCTTGTAGATCCCTCATAGGAACCCGTATAACCCAATGCAAACCATATGATTCTTCAGCCGATTCCTCTAGAAGGCCCCGGGTCAGCGCCCGCAAAGGCCCGGCCAGTCTGTTTTTTCGGTTTCAGGAGGTTTCGGGGTTTAGGGTTTAGGGTTTCTTAAGGCAGATCTTATAGACAAGCATCCTTGGTACAGTTGTAAACGAACTGCAACTGCGTTATCAAGGTAGATTTCGTATGTTCAATTCATATCGACAGCATAGTTGTATGGCATTATATAAGAGGACATGACTCCAGTACATCGTAAGTAGTCGTTATTACTAACACGAGCACTGTTGCTATGGCTGTTGGTGCCACTGCTTGTTTAACATCATTGCAATTGCAATTATTCGTATTATTATTATGATTATTATCAACAATAGTTTTTTAATTATCATCAGTATTAGTATTTTCCTTATTCTTACTACTAGAACTGCCACTACTAGTTATGCTACTTATGCTACTTAATTATTCGGCTACTACTACTTATACGCCTACGACCACTACTACTACTACTAC